GTTGGGAAGGGATCCTGGTTGCCAGTGCCACTGTTGGAGAATCCAGTGCTCACTGCTGCTGTTGGTTTTCAACTTCCCAATGGCACGGGTGAAAACTAAAACCCACGCCACAGGGTTTCCTGTGGTGGAGGCATGATTTGACCCTCAGACTCAAAAGATGGGGAGTTTCAATGCAGTACTAACAGCCATGGACCCCCCAGCTCTGACAGGAAATCATCCCTTAATGTCCCCTTGGTGGGCAGCCAGGTCTTGGGCTCTCCTTTAGGTGAGCCCCACGCCCCAACGCTCCGGCCACAGCTTTGACTGGGCTCAGCATCCCAGTGCTGTTGGGTCAGCTTAGCGTGGCCACACCACTTCTGACCTGGCTTCCAGGGAGAGTGGGCATCTTCCCTGGAATGCCAGCCTTGGCTTGGCCTGTCCCCAGCTGACACATGTCTTGGTGAGGGTGGGCGGGTGGGGAGAAGAATGATACGCCACATGTTCACCAGGCTCTAACCCCACCGGCCTTTGGTGCTAGAGTTGGTGTTGTCTGGGCGAGAGTTGTCACATGTCTCAGGCCTCCTCTGGCCAATTCCAGGTGAGAGAAGGCCAGGCCCGGAGTAACTGTGTGTTGGGCCCGGGAGCTAGATGGGGGAGGCCGCTGCTCCCCGCAAGTCTGTGCATGTGTGTGTGCACACACAGACATCAAGGTGGAATTGGGGAGTTGTGCAAGGCACTGTTCCCATGGAGACCATCTGCTCGGCTGGCTCAAAGAGAGGTTCTCATTAACAGTCTCAGGCAGACCGTCTAACCAGGAGCCGAGAAAGCTGCATCCCGAGGGAAGGGGTGCCGAGGAAACCGGGTTATCAAGGAAGCGTGGGAGGCACATTTCTCTACTATGGCGTCTTCTCACTCGCCTGCCACTCGGAGCCCTGAGGCCAGAGGTCCCGCCAAAGGACCCTATAAATAGCCCACGCCGGCGTCAGCATTAAGAATCTGGATTTCTAAAGCAGGCAAGCCATGCCATCAGTCCACCATAGTGCCATGCGTGAGCCGAGAACAAAAGGTGCCCTCCCCACCGCCAGGTCCCAGGGGACACGGTCAGGGAGGGCCCTCTTCCCGAGCTGTGTTCACGGAGGCCTGAGCCATTGCTCGCCCAGGGTCACTCAGCAAGTAGGTGGGATGTCCAAGGAAGAACCTGGCCCCTTGAGCACCTACCTACTCCCATCTGACACAAGCCGTCCTTCTCCCGACCTCTGGCATCGCTGCCTCCTGGGA